CCTACTGAAACGAAGCACAGCAGCAACCTGAATAGAATTGAATGAGAAAAATCAGTACCGTGAAATGCGCTGAATGGTAACTAACCTTCGGTTCCAAGAGAGACCGTGTCAGGATGCATGCAGAAAAATCGACCGCTGCACTTCGGAAAAGTTGACGGACAGGTGAAATGTGTCTATGATTTAGTGATATGGTTGCAAGCACTGCAAATATGGATAGAGCTCTATTGGGTGTTATTTGGCAAGAATAAGTTCTGAGAGCCCACATAAGGCTCACGAGCCGATATAGTAATAGAAGTTGGGCAGTAATCACTAGCTTTCACAGTGTGTTCAAAGTAGTGAGGTTCTTACCTTATAAATCCCTTTTTAGCTGGTGCCCACAGCTGAACTCTGGACGCTTCGTTAAACGGCCACGAGTTTCCGATCTGGAAGGAATGAAAGCCAGTAGAATATCTGGGAACAAATTTCTTGACTTACAAAACTTGTTTTGAAAGAAGCTTATATCTCAACTTAAACTCGTCATCTTACTCACATGACACAGATGGCTGTGCCACCCTAGACGCTTCTGTGTAGGCTACACGCAGATCGTCCCACAAACATTCCATCCCGTGAGCAAATGGGCGGGCAAGAAATAGGGAGTTGTCTTGTGTGGTAAACGGTACGTACGGAACATCACTGAAAACGTGAGTTCGGTTGGTGTATATGAATTGGGCGGCCAATCTTGGCAAGACTCAGCACACCTCTGTGAAGGCATAGCTTACGATAGAAACAGTTTCTGAGATTTCTCCCGTGGATGAACCTGTAACTCTCAGGAATGCAAAAGGGATGTTGTCGGGTGTGAAAACGGCTTAGGTAGTGCATAATAAGGGTTCCAAAATTGGCTTAGTTGACGTGCAGACCCAACGGTGGACCAGTTCTGATAGCATAATGGACTGTAGATATTGTACCATTCGTACCTGGAAAGACACGTTGCACGGTAGCAGCTTACTGAAGCCAGCTGAGCGCAGTAGCGTATACATTTGGAGGGGTAGTCCAAACACCCCTTCTATACGACTCTTTCATCATTCTCGTATGACCTCTAATTTTATTACCTTTTGAAGCATTATTTTCTCGGAAACGTCGATTTTCGCGTTTTCTGACCTTTGTTGTACTGCACTATCAGTTAGATTGGTGTGTCGTCTGATCGATCATCGATCTCCTCGAGCGGGCGTCAGTACCGTCTCCGTTCGTCCTTTTTGCGAATTAGAGTGGTCTAGTGGATCGTCCTCGAAAGACATTACGCTGACAGAATCCGAAATACTCGCTACCTTCAGTGAGGTTTGTAACAGTGTGGACGTGTTCGACTACACCGACCCTCTCCGAAACCTCGCGGGCTCGCATGGCTGTTCTTTATCTGATATTCTGCAATTCCTCTGAAGGTAACGTGTGTGAAAAGCGTCTAGATTACAGACAGTAGGCAGATAGGGCAATAATTGCCAATATCGTCAAAATCCCCTTCTTGTACAGCAACACAGTCTTGCTAGTTTTCCATTACGAGGGCACCTTGCATTTGACATGTGAAGAGTATCCTATCCAGACTTTTGACAATATGTTGTGGAAGGCTTCTTAGATGTTCAAGACCTGATCCAAGACCAGCGCCGTATAATTCTTAATCGACGCGATGACATGTCGAATTTCGGAAGGGAGAACCCAAGGAGCGATATGTCCGTTTTGCCCAAGATGGTAAGTAGGCACATGAACGTAGCCGTCGAAAAGATCCGAATAGAAGCCATGGATGACGTACTCCATCACCCTCGAGACCCAGTGACTGTTGTTGTAGTCACTTCCGTTACTCCTCTGAAAGAGATACCTCGAAGTTATCGTGAACAATCGTTGAGAGTCTTTGAGATAAATCGTTCGTTCGTGCAGCGGCCTATACCTATGNCACAATCGTGTCTTCTAACACGCGAGGCTCCTCCGCTAAGATTTCAACCATGCCAGCAAGAACTCAAATTAAAGCGCAGTTTTTCAGTAACAGAATTAGATCTAGCTTCAATTCGCTTTTACGTCGTAATCTCATCCCTCCGAATTATCGTACTTTCAAGAAATCCATTGACAAGTTGATTTCACTTAGTTGAGTTCATTACAAAACCTTACTGTTTGTTTTATTTCCTTTTCCATGGTCATGTTATTTTCCTCATTTCACATGTTTACAACATGTCCGTTAAACAAATAAGTAAATAAACAAAGACCAAAGGGACGGGAACAAAGTCCACGCTCCCAGTCGATAGTTGATCTTATGTACCTCGCTCGACTCATCCATGGTGCACAGGAGTTGTCAGCAATATTCCGCTACCAGTGAGTGGTTAAAGAAATTTCACCGAATCAAACGAAGCCACATGGGTGCACAAGAATACTATTCTCTTACCAATTTAAATAATAAAAAAGGTAACAATCTCGACTGTCAGCAGTAATGATCAACCAGGTCGAAAATGAGCCGTGTACTCCACTACAGCTGGTCCCTCATTTGTCCTTATGCGATGGAAAAGTCGATGTACAAAAGAAGGAGTGAAGTCATATCACCTATTGAGTTGGTGGTTTCTTAATTTTTCGATATTTTACATATACTCCTCTTTGGATTATCTCTATCACACTTCCTATCACGACGCACTTTCTTAGTTGGATGAGTGCATGTAAGGTCATTTCGGAGAATTATTTAGGGAGACGTGGAACTGTTTTTTCATTTTCATTTTTGGCAAGCGACCTCAATTACTTGCGTAGACTCCATGACCATTATGAAGCCTTCATGTTATTATTAACAGGTTACTAACTGAGAACATGATGTCAGTGCAAAAAGTAGTAGCAAGAAGGTGATCCTCTTGTAGAAAATGAATTCTTGAAAAGCAAAAGTTCCATAATTACCGTTTTGAAGTTTCTCTCAGACAGACTGAATGTATTCAATATACACTTGCATTCTACCGACGCACTCTACTGCTTTTAGGACCACAAGTGTCCCACACTCCCTCCTGCCCCCTCGTCCCTCCACCACCCGGCTTCATACTAGTACCTGGAAGTACACGACCCATGCTTTACTACGAAATTAAAGAATACAGAAATTCCGACCAGAAATATATGAGAATCCCTTCTGCACAAAAATAAAGTTCCACTGAGTTCTTCAGTCCACTGAATTAGTTAGTAAGACTGAAAGAGCGACATAAAAGAGTGTCAGTGACTTAAAACGTTTGAAAACAACCGTTCAAAGCATGAAGACGGTCATCAACTAATAACAGCACAATTTGAATGATGGGAATACCGCGTGGATGAGAACACCCTATGGAGGAAGTCGGCAACTCGTCCGAGTTTGCGGGGTAACGGCCACGCTCACAATTCTACACGTTGGCTGGTGTTGTTTCTAATGTTTTAATCTTGACTTTGGATTGCTTTTTCTTGTATTCCGATTCTTGTAACGTAGAAGATACTGGAATATTCAATTAACTAAAAATTTTGTGCCAGAAAAGAGGCCAGAGTTCAGCTGCTGTTTCCTATGCTATGAAGTTCGCTTGTTAGCAAAAATTAAAAAATTCAGGACATTCCTATTTATACGGTCATAGCTTGTTTGGCAAAACGGTAAGGTTTCAGCTTTCGTTGAATTTCTTTTCTTCTTCAATTTGTAAGAGCTGAGATGTAAGAGCTCAGAAGACTTAGTAAGGTAAAAAGTAAAAGCACTAGAAAATTCAATAAGTCATGGTCAGGCTCAACAGCTTAGTTGTTGCTCCGATGATTTCTGCTGATTACAGGAGGCGGCGGCGCGGCGGTACAAAAGCTGGCACGAGCAGCACTCGCGAGGAGAGAGGATCGGACACCAGCGGACCCTGACGCTGCCCCTCCGGACGACGACCTTCGCCCTTCACCTTCCACCGCGTCATTCCCTTATTGTATTCTATGTTCTTTATGTGGCATATAGCCGACGTTATGGATAAATATTCCTCTGGCACTGTACTGTACTGTAGCCGTTCTTTAGCACGGATACATAACCCAAACTGGTAGCAGCGAGGCGGTGCCGCCGGCTAAGGTCAGTCCCTTTTCTCTTCCTCTGTACTCCTTTTTTATCCCCACATTCTTTGAATGTTCCTTTTGGACATCTAGACACAGCTGATGGCTACAGCTGTGCCTCCGGAATAAACGACTTTCTTCGCTTCCCTCTAGCTTCTTTTTACCTTATAGTAAACGCGGCTGCCGATCCTCTTCAATATGGTTTTTTCCTTTTTCATTACGTTGCTTAGTATACGGCAGCCTTAGTAAACTTTTCGTTTATTTCTTTCCGTTGTCTATGAGTTTAAAATGTCTTTTTCAATGCTTTCATGCAATCCGAGGTACTGGCACCATTTTTGCACTTGGATTACTGACGTTGGGCATATTCACAATGGCACGACTACCGAAAATAGCACGTTCTTGAGTCTCGAATGGATGAAGGGGTACACGGTATATGAACAATTCCTGCGCCTGGATCTTCCCTCCTATAGGGTTTGAGCGCAACTCGCGAAAACCTTTCATAATCATGGTATCTGACGATTGAGGAGAAAAGATTCTCTGATTACTTTGAAATGCCACCATAGACTGCATGTTTCAACTCAATCTCGGGTAATTGAACAGAGAAAAGACGCGTTTCTTGGGTCGAAGCTCAGGGCACTCGTTGACAAGATGATCGGATGTCTTTGGCTTACGGGAGCGACGGACTTCATCGGCGGCTCGACGCCGCGCGATTGTTTACAGACGCGGCAGCATATTACCGCTTTTCCAGTCCCACGCTGGAATCCTGCTATCTTCTCGACGCATCACCCCAAGGCCGTCGGCTCCCACAACATTTTTTTATCGTTTGGTAGGATAAAGTTCACATAACATCACGCATGATTCCTCGCATATCCGAGCCTCACCCACGCGCGCCGTCCTTATATATTATACCATCGGTGCAGATAGACCACCTTTTTCTGCTGCTATCCGTCGTTATACCGATTACTCGCAGTATGTCCAAGTCATCTTCGTCATCCACCCTCGGGGCTCCTGCCCAGCTTTTTGATACAGTGCCGGTCAAGGATGAGGCCGTCACTGGTCTCTTCCTACCCGGTCTCGACGATATACAGGATGACGCTTTTCTCCACGGCAGGGACGTCAAGCGCCTCCGTGACGCCACGACGTCTGCCCTGTCACAAGTTTGGAGCGACAAGGTCAACGAAGCCAACGCAGCCCTCACTGAGAAACTCAATGACTCCTTCGCTGCAGTGGGGCAGCGTTTGGACAGCTTGCCGGTGATTGCGATGATTCAGCCTGACCCTCAGACTCCACGAGTATCTAACCTTCTCCGAAGCCTCCGGAAATGGCGTGCAGTTCTCCAACTGGTTGCGCCGGCTGGAAGATATCGTGCGCCCGGTGACCCTTACCGAAGAACAACAGCCTAACCACTTCATTGGACACCTAGACGGTGTAGCCAGGGAGAAGGTGGAGGAACTCGACTCCGACGCTAAACGCTCCTATTCGGCGGTAGTTTTCCGTCTTACCGCATTTTTCGGGAGTCCACAGCAGCGTTACGTTGCTCGGCAG